ATTCTTGTTACAACTGTAATGACCAGGGCCAGCTGTGCAAACCAGAGAGAGCCAGGAGCAGGAGAAGCTCTGAGGAAATGGGTAACACAGGGTACTACAACCAACCCCCAGTCTCTAGGTCCTAGAAAGAGAGGGTGGCCTCTTTGTCCTAGGCCAGAGCAGAGAGGGTTCACCTGGAAGGTCACACACTTCAGTTTCTCCCAAGTCACAAGGCTGAGAAGTGGAGCCCCACACAGTGTCTGCTGGGATGATGTGAACTGCTCACCACTCTGCTTTCCCCATCAGATAAGGAGTTCCTATATACAACCATGTCCAGATTCTCCTGCCCCCCCACCCACATTCATGCATCAAAACTGGGGCTGACAGATTATACCAGCTGTTTCCAGTCTCAGAGTCTGCCACCAGCTGAGCACTTGGGGATGCACCCCCTCATTCAGTCTCTCTGACGACCTGGGACTAAGGAGACCATCACAGGGAGTTGGGGGGCCCTAGGGACAGGCACTGAAGCCAGCATGTGTGAGAGCCACACACTGGGTTAGGCCACCCTCCAGAGTCAAGGAGAGCTAGCTTATATGGGGAGGGAGAGGAAGGACAGAGGTGCCAGTTAAAGGCAAAGACTGGACCACAACGGGCTAGGACCCCTGCCACTGTTCAACACACAACTTTCTTTGTCCTGCTCTGAAATCACCATTTAAAGTTGGCAAGTTGGTTCAGCGGGTAAAAACACTTGCTGCCAAGCCCTACAACCTGAGTTCAATCCTGGGGACTCTGCACAGGAAGGAGAAAACCAAGGCCTTCAAATTGTCCTCTGATCTCCATGAATGCCCCATGGGGCATATGCACACCCACATCCACTCTCACACAAAATAAGTGAATAAAATAAAGTGGATAGTGATTGAGGATGACACCTAGAATCAAACTCTAACCTCTATATCGGCACAGGACCACAGAGCCACATGGACAGACACACACACACACACACACACACACACACACACGAAACTGATCACTGCAGTATACCCTGTAATCCCAGCACTTGGGAAGTAGAAACAGGACAATCAGGAGTTCAAGGATATCCTCCAATATGCAGCAAGTTCAAGGCCAGCCAGTGCTATGTGAAACCTTGCCTCAAAACAATAAAAATCCCAAGGACAAGATAGATCCAACAAACCACTCCCACTACTTACAGTTTATAACCAGAGCTGGAGTGACTCTACAGCAGGGGGGGTGGTGTATAGGATCTGGCCAGCAGAGGAGAGAGGGAGGAAGGAAGGGAGGAAGGAGGAGGGGAGGAAAGAAGGGGGAGGGAGCTGTGAGAAGGTGAGACCAGTCAACAGTATGGGCCCCAGAAGTCAAATAATGTTTAGACTTTAGACTGAACAAAAGGAGGTGTCAGAAGGCATGACCATAATAATGTCTAGAGAAATAGACCTGAAAGGAAGGGAAAAATGCTGTGAAAGTTTGTGCTGTGGTAGAAGAGGCATGACTCTCATGCATACAGTAAGTGCTTAACTAGTACATAGAGCCCGATACACAGTGAGTATACTTGTCATCCCAGAACTCAAGAGGTAGAGGTGGGAAGATCAGGAGTTCAAGGCCAGCCTGGACTACATAATGGCTTCAGGACTAGCCTGAGCTCCATGAGACTTGTCTTCAAAAAAAAAAAATAGGGCTGAGGATGTGGCTCAGTTGGTACAGTAGTTTTTGGCATGCACAAAGTCATGGGTTCCATCCCCACCAACAAGGTGATGCATGGTGTTATCTCAGCTGTTGGGAAATACAGGCCATGCTGGGCTACATAGCCAGTTTGAGTTCAGCCTAGGATAATGAGACTCTGTCTCAAATAAACAAAGCAAGGGCTAGAGAGAGAGAGTTCAGCAGTTAAGAGCACTTGCTGCCCTTCCAGAGACCCCAGTTCAGTTCTTTGCACCCACATTAGGCAGCTGTAACCCCAGCTCCAGGGGGTATCATGCACTCTTCTGGCTTCCATGAGCGCGTGCACACACACACACACACATACACACTAATAAAAATTAAAATAAATCTTAAGTCAGGCATGGTGGTGCCTGCTTTAATCCCAGCACTTAGGAGGCAGAAGCAGGCAGCTCAGTGAGATCGAGGACAGTCTGGTCTCCACAGAACTACAGGGAGACCCTGTCTCAAAACAAAACCAAAAAAAAAAAAAAAAAACCAAAAAAAAAAAAAAAAACAGCAGGATCAATCACTCCTAAACAGACTAAGCACTTAATATGATTTTTAAAAAATATTTTATTGCCGGGCGTCGTGGTGCACGCCTTTAATCCCAGCACTCAGGAGGCAGAGGCAGGGGGGGACCCGTGGGGGAAAAACCCACCTGGTCTACCTAGTGAGGTCCCGGGCAGCTGGGGCTACAGAGAGACCCTGTCTCAAAAAGACAAAAAAAAAAATTATTTATTTTATGTGCCTGCATGTATGTATGTAAGTGCACCTGTACCATGCAATGCCCACAGAGGTCAGAAGAGGGCATTGGATTCTCCTGGAACTGGAGTTACAAGTGGTTGTTAGCTGCCATGTGGGTGCTGGGAATCAAACTCGGGTCCTCTAGAAGAGCAGTTGGTGCCCTTAACTATCTCTCCAGCCCCTTGCTTTTTTCCCCTTTAATTAGTACAAAGACAGAAGTTCTCCCAAGAGGTAGTAGGAAGCACTTTCAGAGTCCTTACTCTGCACAGAGAAAGAGCAGGTGGGTCAAGGGAACAGCTAGTGGTAGAATCAAGGGAAGATGTCAGAACCACACTAAAGCCTTCTAGACCCAGAATAGGGAAGTCTGGGCTATGGGGCATAAGGGCTTTCCCAATGCTGAGGGGGCCTGGGCAGGAAGCAGGGATGAGAGCAGGCAGAGAAGGGCGGGCCCTGGGGCAGGGCTAAGAGGCTAGGCTGTTTAAAAGTAAAGGGCAGCCAAGAAAGGAATAAGTTTCCTCCTGCCCCAGGCTAGGGGCTACTTCCTGTAGCAAAAACAACACTCTAGGCTGGGAATGTAGTCAGAGGTAGGGCAGTTGACTAGAATTCCCCAGTGAGGGAGTGTGGCTCAGTGGTAGAGCACCTGTCTAGACTCCTTCAGTGAGGGGCTGGGGGTGATGCTCAGTGGTAAAGCACCAGCGTAGAATCCCCAGTGATGGGCTCCTCACAAGACCCCATAAACAAACAAAATAACAAACACTCCATCCCAGGCATGATTCTAGCAACAACTCTAAAAGGCAAATGCCATTCCCATTTTACTGATGGCAAAATGGAGGCCCAGAGAGGTACACTGTCTTCTCCAAAGGCACACAGCTAAGGAAACAGCAGAGCGAGGTTTGAACTCAGGATATCAAACTCCAGCATCTGAACTCTCAACCACCCAAGTGCACAGAAGACCCTGATCCTCAGGGTGGGTCTTTCAGCTGGGAAATCAGACTAGAGTGCCTGCACTAGAGAAGCAAGGATGTGTGTGTGCGTGTGTGTGTGTGTGTGTGTGTTTTCTCCCGGGCTCCTTTGCCTTTGGGGCTCTTCTCTCGATTTCTACCCTCTGTCCTAGAGCCAGCACCCCAACACTCCCTTTGCCACAAACTGCAGATATCCGTGTATCTGCGCTAAGTGCACACCTGCTATCTTTGCAGGAAGGGACTTGGCCAAATAATCTGTTGCCTCTGCCTTGAACTTCATATCCCAATAACCCAAATCTTTCTCTGCCTCTTGAAGCTGGGGTAATTTATCTCCTATTAAAAAGCAGTGCCGGTAGGCAGGGCACCTGGCTCTAAAAGGCTTCTGAATCTGCCCCACCCTCCTCCACCTATGCCTCCAGCTTCTCCACTAATACAGGCATCAGGCTCCAGTTCTCGGACTGTGCTTGGGAGCCGAGACATTCATTCCAGTCCGGTGTACCTGCCAGGCCCTGGCGGTGCCTATCCAGGTGACAGCCGTCTTATGAATGAAGGACCCATTGTTTATATCTACAACTGATGGGGAGGAGGCCTCTAGCGCACCGGAGGAGAGGCAGCCCCATGTGGTGCTCTCTGTACTCCACCTCCTCCTCTGCCCACAGCCCTAGGCCAGCCCCACCCCCACCATCCTCTGTCTGGGCACCCTTCTAGAGTACGATCAGTCCGGTCCTTCATCCTGGTCCCCCCCCCCCAACTCCCCATCTGTAACCTAGAAGACAGAAGCGGTATCTCGGCGGTTGTAGAGATGCATTGCTTGGTATATAATTCCCCCACTCTCAAGGGTCCCTCTGCAACGACCCTTTCAGATTGGGGCGAAGGCACGCGTGGCAATGCCCAGTGGGCCCTGGGCGAGTTCACAGGCCCCCGTCTAATGGGTCCACGCAGGCGGGCCCTGGAGGCTCGGCCCAGCATCCTCCGTCGCCACTGCCCCTCCCTGGGGGGAGGGCAAAAAAAAAAATCTGCTGCCTCACCAGCCACCAGCGCCAGCTTGGAGGGGCACCCCCCTGCGGAAGGCCACCCCGCCAGGGCCTCTCTCTTGCCCTACCCTCCTTTCCCCATTCTCTCCAACCCAGTTTGGCTAAGGGCACAGGCAGGCGACCCCAAGTGGCGGGGCAGGGGCCTCTGTATCTCATCCGAGATGCCAGGTCTGGAGATGGGGACTGGATGGCCGCACCCACCAAGCTGTGCCCCCAGGATCTGGGAGCCTCCGTCAAGAGTTCTGCAGTGCGCCCAGCTGCCGAGAGCAAGAAGACCCCAACAAATGCACCCGAACCTTAGTCTGTGGATGTGCGCACCACCAGGACCTGTAGTCTGCTGGGCGCCCCCAACCCCACCAGCTCGCCTTTCGGATTGAGGAAGTTGGGGCACATCACGCCCACGCCCACCAGCGGCGGCGACCCTGTAGTCCCTGCGCACGCCGGACAATGCCACGGGGACAGCACCCCATTTTCTGCCTAGGCGGGGGTGCCGCCGCCCCCCGCGACTCTGCGTCCTTTGTTGCCCGCGCGCCCCCATCGCGCGCGTCCCCAGCGCTGCTCCTACCTTGGAGCTCCAGCAGCAACCAGGACCCAGCACCCCTCGACCTCCTCCTGTGCGTTCGCGCGTCTCGGGAGCGAGGATGCTGCGCCCGTGTCGGCGCACCGCTACCTTAGCCGGGGCTCCGCTTTCCGAGCCCGGGCCTCTCGCTCACTCAGCCACGGTGAGACGGGAGTGGAGGGAGGGGCGGATCCAGCAAGCCCGGTCACTGCCTGCGCGTCCCGAGGCGGAGCCGAGTGGAGCCGAAACGGGAGGAGCCGAGCCGAGAGGAGCCGAGCCAAGCGAGGCCGAATCCAGAGGAGCCGAGCCAGGAGGCGTCGAGCGGAGCGGGGCCGAGCGGGGAGGAGCCAAGCCGAGAAGAGCCGAGCGCCTGTGAAGACGAGCAAGATTGAGCCGAATGAAGCCGAACGGGGTCAAACCGAGCGGGGCGGAACCCTGAGACGGTGAGCCGAATGGAGTCGAGCCGGGAGGAGCCGAGCCGAGAAGAGTCGAGCGCCAGCGGAGACGAACAAGGTCGAGCCGAATGGAGCCGAGCGGGGTCGAACCGAGCGAGGAGGAACACAGAGAAGGTGAGCCGAATGGAGCCGAGCCGAGTGGGGACGAGCCGAGAGGAGCCGAGCCGAGAGGAGCCGAGCCGATAGGAGCCGAGCCGAGAGGTGCCGAACGGGGCCGAGCCGAGCCGGGCGTGGCCGAACCGAGTAGGGCCGAGCCGAGCGGGGCCGAGCCGAGAGGAGCCGAGCGGAGCCGAGCCGAGAGAAGCCGAGTCGGACGCGTGGCCCCAGCCGGGCGGGGTGGGGGCCAAGCCGAGCCGAGCCCTTATACGGTCGAGCAGAGCCAAGTCAACCTGAGCAGCTGCAGAGCCGAACCCCGAAGAGAGTGAACAAAAGGGGCCAGCGCTGCGGCCGGCTCCCAAAGGCTGAGCCGGGTGCGGCGGGTGTCCGGCGCCCTCAGGCGCTGCCTCTAGGTTCTTGGGCCTCAGTGATGCACATAATCGGGTGAGCGGGCGGGCGGAAAAGAAGTCTGAACCTCGTTTTCCCGTAGTCTACCATTTGCAACTGACTTGAACACATACTTCAGCTCTAGGCACCTATGGTTGCTCCAGTTAAGTGCTTCGACCATGCATTGTTCACATGAATGTTCCGGAATATTGGGAGAGAGAAGGTTGGGAAAAGGATGCTAAGGGGCGGGCCTGGAGTTTCTGGACAGCTTCACAGAGGACATTGCTGAAAGTTTGTGCTGAAAGAAACTAGTAGGGAACGGTGAGAACTTCAGGTGGTACAGTCGGGCTCATAATCCTGGCACTCCGGAGGCTGATGCAGGAGGACAACCTGGGCTACATAGTGAGACCTTGTCTCAAAATAAAAAAACTTAAGGGTCTCAGCCAGGTATGGTGGCTCACTCCTGTATTCGGGAAATTTGGGAGACTGAGACAGGAGGATTGCCATGAGTTCAAGGCCAATCAGGCCTTTTGTTTTGAAACAGGGTCTTACTGTAGTCCACACTGGCTTCCAACTCCATATCCTCCTGCCTTAGCCTCTTAGGTGTGGCTCAGTAGTAGACCACCTGCCTAGAAACCCCCAGTGAGGGGCTAGGGGCGTGACTCAGTTGGTAGAGCACTTGTTTAGCATTAATGAGGCCCTGGGTTCCATCTTCACGGGCAAAAAACTTAAACAGCTGACCAGATGGCATATGCATTTAATCCTAGCCTCCAGAGGCAGAAGTAGGCAGAGTGATATGAGTTCAAGGCCAGCCTGATCTACATAGAGAGCTCTAAGACTATCTCAAAAACAACATAAAGCTTTAATTCCAGCACTTGGGAGGCAGAGGCAGGCGGCCTCTTTGAGTTTGAGGCCAGCCTGGTCTACATATCAAGCTCCAGGCTAGGTGGGGCTACAGGAAGACCCCGTCTCAAAAAGACCAAAAAAAAAAAAAAAAGAAAGAAACTGTCTTCCAGTCCTCAATGGAACTGTTGATAGACTACTACCTCCCAGGTTTGTCAAGGTTGAATAAATTATTGTGTTTGATGTTTAGAAGAAACAGTGTCTGGTACAGTTAACAGTCAAGAAGTTTGAAGTGGAGGGGTGTCGGGGGAGGGAGACTGGAGAGATGGCTCAGTGGTTAAGAGCCCTGGCTGCTCTTGTAGAGGACCCAGGTTCGTTTCTCAGCACTCACTTGGTTGCTAACTGCCATCCTTAACTCTAGTTCCGGGAAATCTGATGATGCCCTCTTCTGGCTTCCATAAGCTTGTGGTGCACCTATGTAGAAGCAAGCAAAACACTCATACACATCATAAACATAAAATTTTTGTAAAGTTTGGGTATTTAGGGGCTGGAGAGATGGTTCAGCGGGAAGAGCACCAGCTGCTATTGTAGAGTACCTGGGTTCAGTTCCCAGAACCCACATGGCAACTAACAACTGTCCATAACTCCAGGTCCAGGGAATCTGACCCCCTCTTCTGACCTCCGTGGACATTGCATGACATGAATGTACCTACGTACATGCTGGCATTACACTCATACACATGAAATAAAAATAAATAAGCCTGGCGTGGTGGCGCACGCCTTTAGTCCCAGCACTTGGGAGGCAGAGGCAGGCCGATCTTTGTGAGTTCGAGGCCAGCCTGGTCTACATAGTGAGTTCAGGTCAGCTGGGACTACAGGGAGACCCTGTCTCAAAAAGACAAAAAAATTAAATAAATAAATAAAATATTTTTAAATTTTAATTTAAAAAGAAGTTTGAATTTGGGACTGGAGAGCTGGCTCATTGGTTAAGAGTACTTGCTGCTTTTCCAGAGGACCTGAGTGTATGGGAGCAGAGCTACAAAGATCACTGACCAGACAACTCCATGGGTGAGGGGCGCCCCGCAGTTTATTTGAGAGCAAACAGACCACTGAACTGCCTCTCAGGGAGCAGAGAAACAACAGCAGAGAAACAGCAGTGAGCAGGGGCAATCAGCCATCTTTTATAATTAGGTGGTTGGGTAATTTTCTGTGATGTAGGCTGGGCAGTTTAGCTCAGGATTCGTTGGTCTCACAACAAGAGGGACGTGCCTGGGGCTGAATGTACAGAGCTGCGTCACCATTTTAGGAACCTAACAGAGTTCCTAGCTGCCAGGAACCTAACACTGAGTTCCTTTCCCAGAATCCACATCTAGTGGCTCGTATCTGCCTGAAACTCCAACTCCAGGGGCTGTAACACCCTCTTCTGGTGTCCATGAGCACTGCATTCACATGAATATAACCCCCCCATAAACATAACTAAATAAAATAAATCCTTAAGAAAGAAGTGTGGATGGTGGTGTAGGCATGGTGGCGAACACCTGTAATCTATAATTCCCATCTTGAGAAGACTGAGTCAAGAGGATGGTGAATGTGAGGTCATCCTAGACTGTACACAAGACTGTCTCAAATCCAGAGCAGCTGTCCTAGCTTCATTTCTGTTGCCATGATGAAACACCCTGTCCAAAAGCAACTTTAAGGGAAGAAGGGTATATTTTAGCTCACAATTCCAAGTCACAGTCCATCATTTGGGGGAAGTCAAGGCAGAAGCTCAACATCTAGTCACATCACATCCCCAGTCAAGAGCAGAAAGAGGGGACAGGAGAGATGGCTAAGCTGTAAAGAGCACTAACTGCTCTTGCAGAGGACCTGGGTTCAGTTCTCAGCACTCACATGGTGACTAACAACCATCCACTGCTCCAGTTCCGGGGGATCCAACATCTTCTTCTGGTCTCCGTGGGTACTGTGTGCATGTGGTATACTTATATACATGTGGGCAAAACATTCATACACATAAAAATACAAATAAGGGCTGGAGAGATTATGGTTGTGGGTAAGAACACTGGTTGTTCTTGCAGAAGACTTGGGTTCAAATCCCAGCACCCACATGGCAGCTAACAACTGTCCATAACTCCAGTTCCAGGGGATCTGATGGCCTCTTCTGTCCTCCACTGGCATTGCATGACATGGGTGCATTTACCTACATGCAGGCAATATACACATACACATAAAATAAAAATAATAAAAATTTTAAAAATACAAATAAACAAAATGTTTTAAAAAGAGCAGAGGGAAATGATGCATGCATGCTGTTTGCTTGCCTTTGTGCAGGTCACTCTCTTCATTCCTATGCAGTTCAGGGCCTAGCATATGAATCAAACCCACCTTTATTCAGGGTGGGGCCTCAGTTGAGAAAATCCTTCACAGAAATGCCCATAGGCCAACCCAATTCAGATAATTCCTCTTTGAGATCTCCTCCCAGGTGATTCTAAGTTGTGACAAACTGACAGTTAACATTAGCTGCGCAGATGATTTGTTGGGGAAAGTGCTTGCTACGCAAGCATGAGAACCCAAGTTCAAATCCTCTGAGCCACGTAAAAGCCAGGTCTTGTAGCACATGTATGTAATCCAGCAGGGAGGTGGGAGGTGTTGATGGGAGAACCTCTCAAAGCTGTGAGCCAGCCAGCCTCGAGTTCATAGCAGGAAGCAACAGAAAGAGAGACACTGCTTTGCTGAGTGTAATTAGGGCCCCCTTTAAACTCAGGAAGAGGCAGGTGGGTATCTCTGAGTTCAAGGCCAGCGTGGTCTACATAGTGAGTTCCAGGCCAGCCAGGGCTATGTAGTGAGACTGTCTCAAAATATAAAACTTAAAAATATAGGGAATATACATATCTTTTTTTTTTGGTCTTTTTAAGACAGGGTCTCCCTGTAGCTCCAGCTGGCCTGGAACTCACTATGTAGACCAGGCTGGCCTTGAATGCAGAGATCCGCCTGCCTCTGCCTCCCAAATACTGGGATTAAAGGCATGCGCCACCATGCCCAGCTATAGGACGCTATACATAGCTTAATGAAAGGACATTAAAAATACAGAACTGGGGTGTATCTTAATGGTAGGATGTCTACCTAGCACATATAAGACCCTGAAATTGATCCCAAAACTGCAAAATGTAAAAAAAGCAAAAGGAAAAGAAAAACAGATTTAAACATTTCTGTCATCTACCTGGAGAGGGGGATAGACTTCAGTAAATTAAGATGCATAATTTCTTTTTGGTCTCCCTGTAGCCCAAGCTGTCCTAGAACTCACTATGTAAACCGGGCTGGCCTTGAACTCACAGAAATCTGCCTGCCTTTGCCTCCTGAGTGCTGGGATTAAAGGTATATGCCACCACACCAGGCTAATAAATAATATTTTTAAAAAATTATTCATCTGCTGGGTGTGGTGGCACATGCCTTTAATCC